CCCCCCCCCCCCCATTATGGTTATGCCTGTAGAAGCTCCTGATTGGTTAATCCTCCATTCTGTGCCCGTCCTTAGGTGGTGTCCCTACAGGGGAAGGTTTGTCTGGTGACCGGAGCCAGCTCCGGGATTGGGGCTGGAACCGCCATCCTCTTCGCTGGTCTGGGGGCCCGACTGGCCCTAAATGGAAGAAACCAGGATAAGCTGCAGGAGACGGCCCAGCGTTGCGAGGAGGCCTCCGGACTGAAGGTGATGTGACATGTTCCCTCATCTCCTTCCTCTGTGCGTCACATTCATTAGTGTCCCCACATCTCCTTCCTCAGTGTGTCACATTCATTAGTGTCCCGAGCCCCGCATCTCCTCCCTCTGTGCGTCACATTCGTTAGTGCCCCCTCATCTCCTCCCTCTGTGCGTCACATTCATTAGTGTCCCCACATCTCCTCCCTCTGTGCGTCACATTCATTAGTGTCCCCGCATCTCCTCCCTCTGTGCGTCACATTCATTAGTGTCCCCGCATCTCCTCCCTCTGTGCGTCACATTCATTAGTGTCCCCTCATCTCCTTCTCCTGTAACTGTGACATAAATCACTGTCCCCTCATCTTGTCCTATGTGACATTATCATCCCCCTGTGTGCATCATGTCTGTTGGTGTCCCCTCATCTTCCCTGTGTCACAATGATTAGTGTCCCCCTATCCTCTAGGTCGGATTCCTGTATCCTCCTTGCTTATTGGTTATGCGGTGTTGTCTCTTTTCCTGCAGCCCCTCCTGGTCCCAGGAGATCTGAATGATGAGAAGGTCGTCCAGCGGATTGTAGAGGAGACGGTCAGTCACTTTGGACAGCTGGATGTGCTGGTGAACAGCGGGGGGATCCTGGCCATGGGGTCAGTGGAGAATACCACGTTGGAGGACTATGACCGTGTGATGGACACCAATGTGCGGTGAGAAAAGCGACATCCAGTATGGTGGAGGGGCAATATGTGGTGTTGTATTCCCCAGAGAGAGCCAGAAGGGGCCATAGTGCCAAGACAGAAAACATGGAGGGCCGTAGAGATGGGAGGAGCTCCATTAAGGGTCACACATCAGAGAGGGGCTCCCCAGAGGACATGAACACCAAGGAAGACCCTACAAAGGACCACATAGGGGAGAGATCCTTTAGAGAGGAGCTTCTTGATGATGAGAGAGCGAAGAGAGACCCCAGAGTGTGACAGAGCTGAGTGGAACCCTTTAGAGGGCCACAGAGCAAAGTGGGACCCTATAGAAAGGGGCCCCCAGAGGATATGAGAGCAAAGAGTTACCGGGTCTGCACACCTGCTGTGCCCATTATGAGGGGCCCCC